ACAAGATATGAATGTTTTTTTGGGCTCATATGAAAGAGCGGGTCGAGAAATGGCGTGCTAAGGGCCTCTAAAGATGGTTTTGAACCAGGGGAGACTCCTAGACCCCACTGGACAATGTTGTCACAATTGCGCTTTTCAATTGAAAACAGACATCATCTTTAGAGACAATTGTCATCTTTAAAGACTTCTGCACGGCATTTTTCGAGCCGCTCTTTCATTTGACTCAAAAAAAACATGGCCGTGACTATTCGCACGTTGAAGTTTGTGTTTTCACGCAGCCGAATTTTCATACTGCTGTGTATTTCACGCAGTTGAAGTTTTATACAACTGCGTGAAACACACAGTAGTATAAAAATACAACTGCGTGAAACACACAGTAGTATAAAACTTCAACTGCGTGGAACACACAGTAGTATGAAACTTCAACTGCGTCAAATACACAGTAGTATGAAACTTCAACTGCGTGAAATACACAGCAGTATGAAAATTCGGCTGCGTGAAACACACAAACTTCACGCATGCGTGGAGTGTATGGAGTGTACGGGAGTGATTCACGCAATGGTGCGAATAGTCACGGCCCAAATTTTTCCGCAACCGTTTGATCACCACTTGAGTTTCAGCTCCTAAAGCTCTCCTACTCGATCTTCAATATCCTCAAGCAAGCGTCCGAATGAAACTCCTCAGTCCAATAAAGTACAAAACAATTTCACAGTGAATTGTTATCAATCGTAAACTGTTCGTTGATGAATGGAAGATGATAAATGTTCATGGAAAAGAAGTTGTGCGTTACTCTATTCTCTGAGCACTTATTGTCTACTTTGAACCGCAATGTTTTATTCCTCCCGCCCACTGCCGTCAACACCCTCTTCCATACAATTTATTTCTTCCTCTGCTATTGCCCCACGGGTGACTTATGTCCTCCCCCACCAGCAGATCAATATCCCCTGTATTTTCCCTCCGAAGAAGTCATCGAATTTCTGTTCCGAAGACACGAAAAGCCATGCGACTATTCCAGAATTATAGCTGTAGAATAACATAGTAGACTATTTTCCATCGATTGTCCCCCAGAATCCCCAAATTACTGAGTCACTTCGCCGAGAAAATTGGAGCTTTATTTTCTTGATGATAGATAAGTGTTCTTAGAAAGAATAAATTACTGTGAACCAACAGTTTGCGATAATGCCAGCTCTCGAAAAAATATCCCCTCCAACTCTTTCATTTTCATTCGTCACGCGACATCAGCTGTCCTGGACTCTGTCCTCGAGTCTCACTGACAAAATAGTCATCGACATCACCGAGAAACCGACTCCCAACTTGAGAGGAAGGAAACGCGAAGAGAAACATTGGGGAATCCCCTGGATTTTCGTAATGTCATTCTTCTCCCTCAACATTCTCGCCTTTCGAATACTGGGACTCTGGTTCCCCGAGGAGACTTCGTCAGTCTGCCGAATAATTTTATACAGAATCTACAATGCATTCGCAGTGACAGCCATGTGCACCTTCGTACTGTCACAATTTTTCGCATTACTCGAGTGTCTCAATGACACGAAGGAACTGACCAACGCCTCGTTCATGCTGTTGACGATGATCGCAGTGGCTGGAAAAATGTTCAACATGACTGTTTACCGATATGAAATCAGCAGAATGGTCAAACTATTCGATCTCGAGCCGTTCAAGTCCATGGACGACCGTGAAGTCGTGATTAAATCGAAATTTCATCGCTCTGTCAAGTGAGTTGAAGTTCTCAATCAATTGGAAATTGCGTAATTTTCTCCGGCAGTTCATGCCCATTCGGAAGTGACGATGCACATGAATTGATGACTTTGTCGTGTGATTTTACGCAATTTTCAAGTTTTCGGGATTTAAGGTCTCGGGATAATGCACGGAGAAAATTATCTGGTCGATTTCAACAACTCGTTGGTGAAATTTAACAATTAATTAAAATTCAGAGATTTTTCAATTTCATTCAATCAATTTTGACTATCAAACTGGATGGTGAGGGCATATATCAGTAGCGAAGTTGTAAACCGGTACAAGTCGATTTTGACTATTGGGCAGTTTTCAATAAATATCTCGGAATCTAAGGGAAGTAGCGAAATCGTTGTAATTTCCTTTTTTGCAGCCCTCAATTTGTTCTACAAAAAAGGTCAAGACAAAAATTTTGCTATTTCCCTAAGATTGTGAGATATTCATTGAAAACTGGGCAATAGTCAAAACCGACTTATACCGGTTTACCACTTCACTACTTAAGTGTAAACAATCCCGCAATCATTTATATCTTGACAATCGAAAAATGTTTTTCCTAGAAGATATTTTCGCAATAATCAACATTTTCTGACGAACTGAAAATTTAACGAATCAATTTCAGCAACTAGTTAGTGAATTTCAAAAACTAATTGATGAAATTTAACAACTATTTAATTAAATTTCAGAAATAGTATATTTCAGGGCGAGCGCTATGGGGTTTTTTACTCGCGCGGAGTTGGCGTCTGAGCCGAAGACGAGGACCGGCCAACTATGCGAGTAAAAAAACCCCATGGCGCTAGCCGTGAACGATACTTTTCCGTAGTAATTTTCACTTTTACGAGTTTGGGGAAGGGCTAATACCAATCCCCGGACGAGGAAAAGTGAAGATCAGTACGGAAAAAGATTTTTCAATTTCATTCGACAACCAAATTAAATCGAAAAATCGATTGTCAAATCGATTGGCGGTTGTCGAATGAAATTGAAAAATCTTTCTCTGAGTTTTAATTAAATAGTTGTTAAATTTCATCAATTAGTTATTAAATTCCATCAATTAGTCGTTGAAATTCACCAAACAATCTTCTCCGTGGGGAATGAATACAGAATCACTGACGATAAATTTATGCAAGGCGCTTTATTTCCGTGTACGGAACGCTAGGAACAGCGACATGCACCCTGATAACCCTATTTTCCCTGATCCGCGACATGCCTCGTCGTCAATTGCTCTTCAAAGCCCGATACCCCTTCGATGATTCGGCCTCAGTTGGCTACTGGGTCTCCTACATTCATCAACTCTACAGTCACTATATGGGGGCCGTCGTCAACATGACTTTCGATACATTCGTCTCAGCCCTGATGCTGGCCACCTCGGCGCAATTGGAGGTCCTCAAGTATCGGTTCGTCATGATGCCAAGTGCCATGGAGAACGAGCGGGCTGAGACTGGCTGCAAGGGAAATCCTGAAGAGGTTGAGAGGATGGAGGCGAAGTACTTGAGGAATCACACGAATCATCACCTAGCCATTTTTGAGTTGAGTAGGGTAAACTCACGGACGAAAAAATTTAACAGAAAAACCTATCGAATTCGTTAGAAAATTCTATTGAACTGTTCTATTAGTTTTTGGCCGATTCTATTGAATTTTCAATAGAAAATATTCAGTAGAAAAAGTCAATAGAATTCAATTTTTCTATGCAACTTATTCTATTGAGATATTTTCTATAGAATTTCCTTGGCTCAAATTTTCTCAGTCTTTTCGTTTGATTTTCTTGATGAGAAGAAAAGAAAAATAGAGTGAAAAAAACTTGGAAAATTTGAGGCGAGCAAATTCTATAGAAAATATATGAAAAGAATAAGTTATATAGAAAAATCGAATTCAGTCGACTTTTTCTATTGATGTCAATAGAATCAGCTAAAAACTAAAATAAAATTTAATAGAAATTCAATAGAATTTTGCAACGAATTCGATAGGTTTTTCTATTGAATTTTTTCGTGCGTGCTGCCCAGTAGGTGGACCCCTACGAAAACCGCCCAGTAGATGGACGTTTGTTTTTTGGCGATTGAAAAAAAAATTATTGAAAAAAAGTGGCCATTCAGCACTGATAGAGTGACTCATTTATTCCTAATGGAATATAGGTGCAAGTGAATAAATAAATGTGGCAAACCAATGAGATACTTATGACGGCTTCCGGATGGATGCCGCGTCTAGATTCAGCTTTTTGCCGACGTTTCGCAAACATTTCAGTCTGCATCATTAGGGCTAGGTTGCTCCGATACTTAAGCTCCCGTTGTAAGGAAGTCCTTATATACCCCCTGACCGCTGGAGGGGGTAGGTAGAGTGGTGGGGGGTATCCCAGCCGATCAAGATGTTTTTAATTGAGCAGCTGGTCGGAGCAACCTAGCCCTGATGATGCGGACTGAAAGGTTTGCGAAACGTCGGCAAAAAGCTGAATCTAGACACGGCATCCATCCGGAAGCCATCATAATGAATAATAATATTGGCCGCGAAAGCCTCAAAACTCAATGAGATACTTTATTAAAAATTGCAGGCGGCCGTATCTTCGATACAGCTGTAATTGTACGTGGGTACGTCCATGGTCTTTCCTTCTTTCTCGAATTTCCTAGAAACTCCCTGAATTCTCTAATTCAAATTTAGAGCGTACAACCAGAGACATGATGAGAATTCACCTCAAACAATGTATTAAATTTTCAACAATTTACATGTAACTATCGCTGTAAATAATCCTGTAGGACTAATACATTCAATAAATAAAAAAAAGAATTTCCTATCCAAAAGTAGCTCGTCCATCTACAGGGCAGTGTCCATCTACTGGATAGTCGACCCATTTCGTCCGAGAAATTATTTTCCTTCGGAAACACGTGGAAATTTCTAGCGATGGTCATGCACTCAATGAAATCTATGATTAATTTTCATTCAGATTTTCGAAAATGACGAATGACACGTTCACCGTTTCAATTTTCCTTCAATACTGCGCCAGCTCCCTAGTCCTCTGCGTCAGTGTCTTCACGTTGACGCAGTTGAAACCCCTGAGCAAAGAGTTTAATTCTCTGCTGATGTACATCGGCTGCATGCTGGTGCAGATATTCATATTTTGTGACGCAGCGAATGACGTTACTATCAGGGTAAATAATCAGCATGCATCGTAGATTGACATTGTCACGATTGTTTGGCTTTCAGAGTGAAACAATGGCTGAGGGCATCTACAAAATGGACTGGACGTCTCTGTCTATCAATAGCCAGAAGAGTCTGGTCCTCATCATGGCTCGCACTTTGAGGCCCATAAGGTACACGAGTGGACATGTTGTCAGTCTGTCTCTCGTTTCGTTCAGCAGTGTAAGTAATCATTCACCAGCGAAGTGGTCAAACGGTTTCAGTCAATTTTGGCTGTTAGCCAATTTTCAATGAATATCTCGAAATCTGAGGGAGATAGCAAAATTTTTCTCATGACCTTTTTAGTAGCGCTCAGTTCGCTCTACAAAAAAGGTTATTATGAAAATTTCGCTATCTCCCTTCAATTCGGAAATATTTCTGAAAAACTAGAGATTAAATTGACTTGACCGTTTGACCACTTCGCTGATTTGGATTGTACTAGGGGGAGAGTCGGGCAAAATGGGACGTTTCATGATCTTCTCTACACTGAAGAAAACGACAAAGTTCTCAAACAAGTCTTACTTGTGCCGAGAAAATAGTTTTTTGAAAATTATCAAAAAAGGATTTTTTGTGCCAAACATGCAGAGAGTGCGCTGGAATGAAAAATTTTTGTCGCAAAAATAGATTCAGTAGTTGAAAAAAAATTGTATTCTCTGTAGACGCAAGAAATGTCATTTCTAGCACTACTCCTTCGTAATTCAATAAACGGAGAGAAATTTTTTAGAAAAATTCCAGTGCAAGCACGGGAAAACAGGCGCAAAGTGACGGTCAGGAAAAAATTCCAGTGCCGGCACTAGAAATTTTATTGGGGAAAACTTGAATTTTTCTCCGTATTTCTGCGAAAATTTCACAGAAATCCCCAGAAATTTTACCTTAACAGCACTAGAATTTTTCACAGCCGGTGGATTGTGATTTTTTCCAGTACTCGTACTAGAATTTTTCTAGAAAATTTCTCTCCGTGTACTCCCATACGTATTTTGTTCCCGAAAAATCTTTGTTTTATGCGAAACAAGGGATAGTAGTTTTTCGTTTCGGCTGTCTAATAATCACAGACAAGAAATGAACCCTTAAATGAAACAATAATAATGATATGATAGCAATCTTGTTACTTAGGGATAAAATATTTGTTGATAAATTTTCCTCTGTATGAGATATTTTCATCCTGAAAAGGCACCGTCTGGTCCGAATTATCCGCCTCTTGAGCCAAATATTTCGTTGCTATCGAAAGCAGAACGATTATTCATGTTTGAGACTTTCAAATTCGAACCAAAAAAATTCTTTTTTGGCAATTTTCAACTAGCGATTTTGTTGGCCCAAGCAAGACTTGTTTGACAACGTGTTTGTCTTTCTCTCAGTGTAGTTGTCAATATCTTCACTTATAAATGAAGATATTGACGATTGGAAAAGCTCTCAACATGTTCCCAATTATTTCAATTAAATTCCAGCTCCTGAAGCTCTCCTATTCCGTCTACAATATCCTAACTCAGTCGTCTGAGTGATCTACATCAACAGCCGGAACTTCGGATCATGAATTAAGAGAAAAAACTGGAGAACTCCCAAATGAATTGTTATTAATTACGAATTGGTAGTTTACGAATGGAACCTGATATTTGTTTTTAGAAAATGAAGCTGTGACTTATTCCATTCTCCGTTCTACTGTCTGACTCACATAAAAATCCTCCCCTGTTCTAGCAATCTTCGATCCGACTATTTCGTCCGAGAAATAAATTCGCTTCAGAAACACGTGGAAACTGATCACAACGTCATCGTCTCACGACAATTAATAATGCAATTAATAATGGAATTAAATTCAGTAGCGAAGTGGTAAAACGATTCAAGTCGACTCATCTCTCAGCGGAGTTTTCGAGGAATATTTCCGAATCTAAGGGAGATAGCAAAATTTTTGTCATTACACTTATTGTAGCTCTTAATTGGCTCTACAAAAAAGCTTATAACAAAAATTTTACCATCTCCCTTAGATTCCGAGATATTCATTGAAAACTGGTCAATAATCACAATCGATTTGTACCGTTTTACCACTTCGCTACTTAATTGTACTTCGAAGGTAACGAGTCGTCTCACGGAAAATAAAGTTGTTACAAATGAAAAATAGTGTTTTACTCACAACCCACCATTCGACAAATCACATTTAAAAATCGTGAATATGTAAAAAGAGGATTGACATTCTCTAGCGATTTACTGTCTAATAACCGGTGTGATATACATGCGCAACAACAACAATTTATTCCCACGTTATCTTTAACCAAAATACTTCGTGGATCGCTTGTTTATTCATTGATGAGAACAGTAGAATTATTTTATCAGTAATTATTTACATAAATTATTTGCGGTAATATTTTTCCCCTGGGCTTCCCAGGGTAGTGTCGAGCTTCATTAGCGTCAGACACTAGGTGGATAGCCTCAGTCGATACCTGGAGGTCTTGAGGGCAGAACGGGTCGAGCCTCGAGTTACGATTCTCTAGTCCCGAAGATATTTCGATACTCGGAGGCAGCATGGAGGGATTTTTCGTGCTGTCGGCGATTTGTTGCGTCCTCTCTGCCGTTTCCTGCACTCCGATCGCCGCGGTAAGTCGTTTTTAATGTTAAAGCGCAGTTGGTTACGAGATCAAGTAATTTCGAGTAATTTCGGAGAGTTAACGCTGCGTCATTTCTAGATGTTCAATCATGTGAATATTTTTTGTGTGTGGTGCAATTAAATGAATATTTCATCATTTTTTAAAATTGAATTTCTCTAATCTTTTGCAGCGGTTTTTTAGTTGATAAATTTTTTTTTCAGCACTTGTACGTAAAGTGACATTTTACGCACGCTCCGCCGGTGCAAAATCTCACTTTCCACCCATTGTGGGGAAAGATAGGGTTTTTTAACACTTGAGGAGGGCAGCGCTATACACTCGTCAAAAGAACTTCGGAAAGAACGAGGAGGTGGATCTTATGTAGAATTACACAGGATGCAACTTCACACTGTTCACCAACTTTTTTTGACGATTGTGCACCTCCCGCCGGTTCCATGTCTATATCTCACAAAACAAACTCAACACGTCAATTCAACACACGACATTTCAACACAACAAATTCAACACCAACAAAGTTAACTCAATCAAACTCATCACAACACAATTTAAATATGCATAATAATCAACACAACTCAAACAAAAACACCATTACATGTACTCTGGATGTCAACAAACACATCGAAAATATCACCATTGGGCATCCAAAGGAAAAGACAATAAAACTCCCAGCTATCTTCATAGCATCCAACCCATATACATTTGACATATAAATATATAGACACCAATACGAAAGAACAAACGAAACCAACCCAACCCAAATGATAAACCCATGGAATATACTCACTCGCGCTGATCAAATGTATATAACCACGTTCACTTAATAATATACTTGGATGTGTTTTTTGTGAAAAATAAAATAAGTTCAAATAAATTGATGTTGAAATTGAATATGATGGAAAAACCGAATGATGAAATAGTTTTGGTAGAAAATGAAAATGTTGAATTGACGTGTTGTATTGAAATGACGCCGTGGAGTTTAGACGTGTCACCGTATAATTCGACACTGGGCCGTGAAAAATTTTTCTGGCGAGTATGAGAAATATGATTACAGGACGAGCCGACTCGCTTTCGGCTCGTCCTGTAATCCTATTAAGTGGAAAAGTTCCCACGGCCGTATGTCGAACAATATTGTTACGTATTTGCCGTTTTCCTCCCTGTCAACCACCTTCATGTACGATCGTCTCTTTCTTTTCCGTTATTCTTTTATCTTGTTTTCCAGTCCGCGGATGCGTCAATCCTTTTTGTAGTTCTTTTTATTATTTATTTCGCCCCAAAATTCTTTTAATAAACATTTATTCTTATCAAATATCTCGTATTTTACAATATTTGTTGTCATTAGGCCCGAAAACCGCGATTTAACCGAGCGAAGCGAGATCGCGTGTGTTAAATCGCTTCGCTCGGTTAAATCGCGGTTTATCAGGCCTAGTGACGAAAATAATATGATGTAACAGAAGTAGATATTTAATTGTGAAATGGATGACGAGGGGGAAAACTGGAATTATTTTATAATTTCGCATCCTCCTCCTTATTTTTCTCATTTTTTTAAATGATAATAAAAATGATTTTATAATGGGTGCGTAAAGTGGAGCTTTACGCACTCAAATGTCACTTACGCACGCTCTTGAATTTTACGCACTCGTGCACAAAAACAACTACTTTACCTCCACTGCCGTTCCAAAATAGGATGTGTTACACGTCCGTGCAAAAAGTGGAACTTTACGTACTAGTAATACAATATACTATCAGCTAATGGGGCCGAAAACCCGATCTAACCGAGGTTAGAATCGCGGTTTCTCGGGCCTAGTGACATAAATAGGGTTCGACACTCGTGGAAAAAGTGCTCACATCTCCCACCGCTCAAAAAACACTATTTACTCACTCGTACCGAAATCTACTAATTTTGAAATGATTTTTTTCAGGCGAAAATAGATCTACATTTTTACTTCTTCGTATTTTGCATGGTTCTGAATAAAAATATTACTTCTCAGTAGTCACTGCAATAACGAGCTGTGACGTAAAAAAAAATTCAAACCAGTTCTGATAAGGATGACCAAAATTAATGACTCAAGCTGTGGACAACCTGATATGTTACCACGCATTACTATTGAGTTTTTGTTGACCATGTTTTCAATTATGTTAATCATAACAGTACTACTGTAATAATTATATCAGATATTATTTCATAATTGTAGAATTTCACACATTTTCTAGCAGATATTTTTTTAAACCCTTGAGAATGAAGAGTTTTTGAAAAATTCTGTCGAATTTCTGTTAGAACTCTGTAGGAATTCTCTTCATTTTATTTTAATTTAGTTGTAGTAAAATTTTATTGAAAAATTATATTTGTTTTTTATGCCATTTCTGTACGAGAAAGAAGTCAACAGATCTTTATTTCTCTATAGAAATTTTTGAGCGTCAATGCTCCAATTTTTTCCGCTGTATTTTTATTTCTTCCTGATGATAAAATTCAAGAAAAAAAATTATAAAAATTATGTTCGAAAATTCTTACCGAAAAAATCCAAACAAAATGAGTTGTATAAAAACAAAATCTATAGACATGTTTCTATAAACAAATATCTATTTAAAAACAAAACAAAAATTCTAAAATGGGGCGTTGCATAATTTTTGATAGAATTGACGCAAAAAAGAATCTGTCAGAAGATAACAAAAATTCACGAGAATTTCTTTGGGAAAGGGCTAGAGAAAGCGTTTTCCTATTCAATTTTTACCCGCGTGTTCCCAAAATACTCCCGAAATAATCACCAAAGAAAAAATCCAAACAGAATGAGTTATAGAAAAAATCAACATCTATAGACATGTTTCTATAAACAAATACCTATTTAAAAACAAAACAAAAATTCTAAAACGGGGCGTTGCATAATTTTTAATTGAATTGACGCAAAAAAAAAATCTGTCAGAAGATAACAAAAATTCACAAGAATTTCTTTGGGAAAGCGCCAGAGAAGGCGTTTTTCTATTCAATTTTTACACTCGTGTTCCCAAAATACTCCCGAAATAATCACTAAAGAAAAAATCCAAACAGAATGAGTTATAGAAAAAATCAACATCTATAGACATGTTTCTATAAGCAAATATCTATTTAAAAACAAAAAAATTCTAAAATGGGGCGTTGCATAATTTTTGATAGAATTGTCGCAAAAAAAAATCTGTCAGAAGATAACAAAAATTCACGAGAATTTCTTTGGGAAAGCGCCAGAGAAGGCGTTTTTCTATTCAATTTTTACACTCGTGTTCCCAGAAAACTCCCAAAATAATCACCATAGAATTGTCGGCCCCCCGCGCAAGCCTAAAAAGGAACGCGTGAAAAAGGTTGAGAATCGCTTGGGCTCGAAGTTCATCAGCATTCATCACTCTCGCTAATGCTTTTTCCTTTGATATTTTCAGAACGAACCGACATGCCCGCGAGGATTCACCGGGTACCTGGAGTACCCATACAACTGCTACAAGTTTTTGCAGTGCGACCGCGGTCGTACATTCGTAATGAACTGCGGCCCTGGTACAGCTTTCAATCCCAGTATAAATGTCTGCGATTGGCCACAAAATGTTCCCACTTGCTACGGTAATTCCATAAATATTATTTTTTATGATTTAGGAACAGATCTGATGTGCGCGGGGTTGCACTACTGGACTTAACTGATCGGAATCTTTTTGTAGGGGAGACCGGGGCAAAATGAAACAGCCGAAAAACGACTATCTGACGCAATTCAAGCAAAAAAAAATTTACTTCTGTTTAATAGACAAAATTAATAAACAAAAAGTTGAAATTTTAACTTTTGATTATTAACTTTTTTTATTATTGGGAGTACTCATGAGAATAATAATTTTCTATTCGTTTTAGAATTCAGTTTATTAGATTAGGCCGATTACACTTTTCTTTTTTCATTCGACTGAAATTCCGCATCATATTTTCCTTTTTCCCCCTCTGGGTCTCCCCCTGGGCCTTCCCCTGGACTTTGGATTTCGCTGTTTCATTTTCTTTTCAATTAATCCATCGACAAAATCTTCTCCCGTCAAAACTTCGCAGTAATTTTACATTCTACTGAATTAAATTAAAAAACTGAATTCAATTGAACTGAATTGAATTAAATTATTATTATTCTTATTAGTGAGAATCAAGGTCTCAAGAATAAAAAAAAGTTGATAAACAAAAGTTGATGAAAAAAATATTTAATAAAAAAAATTTTAGCTTGAATTGTGTCAAACGATGGTTTTTCGACTGTTTCATTTTGCCCCCTCATTTTTCCCCATTTATTTTATTTGTAGAGATTATTGCAATTTCAATTTTTTTTTTCATTTTGTGTTTTACAGCAGATGGAGAGGGAATCATCGACATTCGTTGACACGACAGAGGAATCGAAGACACTTTTTGATAAAAAACATTTATTGATTAAGCAAATTCATTAGGTAAATGCCACGCAAATTTCCTTCATTCGATAGAAAATGGTATTAAAAAATGAGATATATGGTCGAGGCATCGTGAGGTGTAGAGAGATTATTCATACGAAATGTCCTGTTGAAAGCCATTATTTTCCTCCTCGAGATATTCTCCAGACTCTAGAGAATAAAAAATACGTAAATGAATGAGTCTAGGGTAAAATAACGTGATGCAGTTTTCAAAGCGGAGAAAATCCTCCATGAAAAGCTATTCTGATATTCTGTTTTAGACTTATTCGTTCTCTGAGATATTTTCGTAGAGAATTTTGTGGGCGATGAAAAAAAATTCTTGACGTTATTCTCTGAACTTGTGTTTTCGAGATATTTGCAAAATAATTTGTAAAAAATGTCTCATCCAATCCCGAAAACTGCGTTTTATATGAAACAATATACTTTGGATGTCATGAGTATTTATTCATCTCCTGGCATTGGGTAATATTTTTGAGATGTCCATTTTTTAAAAAATGCAATAAAAAAAATATTTTTATGAAAATATCTCTGGAGCAACTAAATCTGCGGAAAAATAACGTGAGACGATTTTTTCAACTGAGAAAATTCTCCACGATAAACTATTTTGGTATTCTCTTTCAGACTTATTCGTTGTCTGAAATCTTTTTCTACAGAATTTTATTGACTGGAAAAAAAAATCTCTTGGCATTCTTCTGTAAACTTCTGTTTCCGAGTTATTTGCAAAATAATCTGTAACAAATGTCTCATTCAATTTCAAAAACTCCATCTTATATGAAACAATATATTTTGAATGTCATGAATAAAAAAAAATGCGATGAATGAATGAACGACGAACGTGCCGATGTTTATTCATCTTTCATGATTTGAAATGTTCTCTACCTTCTTTAAAAATGCACTGAAAAATGTACTTTTCTGCAGAAATTCTAAAGCAAATAATTAGGATAAAACGTAATAAAATGATTCTTATAGCTGCGCAAACTTTCTACGATAAGTTCTTTTGGAGTTCTCTTTCACACTTATTCGTTCTCTAAAATATTACTATAGAGTATTTTATGGATGACAAAAAAATTTTCTCCATTCTTAGTTAAAATAACATTCTTGGGGATTTTGGTTACCTCCTAAGGGTATTGAGTAATATCCATGGAGAGGACCTCAAGCAGAGATAAATCTGCCTCGACCTTCTTGATTTTCGAGGCCTCGTTCAACTCAATCCCCGGTGGATCACGCCCGTACCATTTTGTACGATATCCCTTCATGTTAATGGTACCCTCAACCTCTATCAAATCCCCAATTTTGAAATGCTGAATGTCGTCGTTATTCGTCAGGACAATGTTCAGTTTTTTGCGGCCATCAGTGATGGATCCATAAGTGCAGTGTTTAAGCTTTGCAAATTCACCTTTTACGAAACCTTTGAGACCTGTCACATTTGAAATTATCGGACATTATACTTCTATTGAAATTCGGTAGAAATTCGATTGGAATTCTATTTAAATTCTAGAGAATTCTCGTTAAAATGCCATTAGTTTTTTGCGGAGGCAAAAACAGATTTCGATTTCTCTATATGAATATTCTCTTGGAATTTTTTCTATAGAAATACTTGGGCATGAATTTTCTAAGTTTACTAAAAGAAAAAACATTTTTCCGAGAAAATTCGTGCCCAATAATTTTAATAAAAAAATTCTCAAGATAAAAAATCCAACAAAAAAATCTAAATCTATTGACTTTTTCCTACCAAATATCTAATAGAACATGCGCAAAAAATGAATAGAATTTTAACGAGAATTCCCTGGAATTTTAATAGATTCCTATAGAATTTCTGGAGAATTTCAATTGAATGTCCTAGCGAATTCGCTAAGGTTTTCTTTTAAATTTTTTCATACGTGTTTTCATTGCCATTATAACTGCTTACTTACGTACGAGCTGCCCATCAGACTCACGAATCTGATCCCACAAGATAGTGGGGGGTTCTGTTTTCTGCAACTCCTCGGGATTGAACTCCCCGATTTTTTTAATGATCGAAGTGGGATGATTGACGTGAATTTCGAAAGCTTCACCATTGATTCGCGAATTTATGTTGTCGCGAACGAATGGGACGTCGAATATTTTGCACCTGGCGTTGATGATGTGGAGGATCTGTTGGAGGAGAAGATATCGACAACAATTTTCAAGGGAAATTATAGCATTTGAAAATGTTTCTGCAGATTTTTTTACTGCGCTTTTACCGCATTTGGCTTGATCCATTCCGGATGAATTTTACTCGCTTGATTCCAGACACATATGAGGAGTGTTCTGCCACGGTTATTGTTCAATGTGAACATCACTCTGACATTGTCCATCGGCGTCGGTGGATTCTCGATTATCGTTTCTACGTATCCGATGACATCCCTATGAAATAAAAATGCAGATATTAATAGCAGGATTATGAGCGCATTTTTTTCGCGTGGGACTTACACTCGCTGATCTCCGGATGTGAAGGAGTCGATGGCTTCATTTCTAGTTGCGAATTCCATCTTTAGTATTCTGAAAATTATATAGAAAATTATGTAGAAATGGAAAATATTTTTTAAATTTGACTAAACCATATTATTATTTTTTCCCATTCACCCATATTAAGCGATTAACTAGTCAAATCCTGATTGATTCATTTTGCTTTATTTTTCTTTCATTTTCATTTATTTTCTACACTCTACAATCAGTAATTTGTTTATAACATGTAAATACCAGGCTGAAGGCCCTCGAGCGATAGCCAGTTACAAGATTCTTGCGACTGATTCGATTAAAAAGACAATAAATAAATATTTTTAAAGTAGTAAATTAAAATTGTTAAAGGACCAATTTTTGTCATGACGAACTCACCAACAATTCTCCACTGGTTGGCGCAGTCCAACTGAAGAATCCGTTGGTGCTGGACCTCACGTAGCGCCTGAAAACTCGTAGAACACATCTATTTTCGTACTTCCTGCTGTAAATAAAGTCCAGGCGTCTGCCTCCCCGGAGCATCATCTTGTTTCGAAAAATTTTAACTCGACAACAATGACGATGCACATCAACACGTTCTTACTAACACAATATTTTGAATCCGATGGAATAAAAATTATAATTCAACTTTCCAAGAGTTTTTACAGAACTTTTTTTTTGCAAGAATTTGCAAGTGCGGAGAGAAATTACCGTTTGAGCCATTCAAAATTTTCAAGCCACACGGCAGCACTTCACTCCAATTAATTGATGAAGTGATTACTATCATCGCGATTAAAGAAAAGAAAAATTAACAAAAATCAATTTCATTCACTCAAAGATATAGAAAATTTGATTTTTTTTCGCTTGATAATCGTCTCTGCCGGCATTTTTTTTACATTCTTTCTATTGAAAATCTCATCACAAGAATGGAAACCACTGGCATTCTTTCACTATTTATTTTAAAAAATCTCGTTCTATTCCGTAGCATAATTATTGTAATTCAGCAGTGATGAATTTTTTTGCAAACTCAGTTTGCTACTCATTTCCGGTGCGCTGTTAAAAAAATTTGGCTAAATTTTCTAGAAAAACGGGTGAGAAGAAAATGCAATTTCAAATTTCTCTGAAGATTCAAGTAAAGTCCCGATTTTTTAGCGACAGAAAGGCGAAAATTACGAAATTTACATGAATTTCCAAGAGAAAATGAATATTCACTGCTGAATTCCTTTGAACTTCCTTAAAATTCACAGAGGAATCTGGAATTCAAGCAGAGATTCCTCTGAATTTTTCTGTTTCTTCATTAACTTTCCCGGAGTAATTAAACCGAAATCGACAGTTTCCCTGGATTTTCAATTAAATTATGAAATTTCACTGACAAAATTCCTCGAAATTTCAGTGAAAACTATTCAACAGTGCACGACACTTACACGTATCAAATTTTTTATGGAACATTTTTTTCCGCATATTTGTGGCTGAATTTTATGACGTGGTTTTTGCCAAGGAGATTGGCACCTGTCAAGCTTTATTAGGAATAGACGCTAGGGGGTCAGGATCAGTCGTCACCGAGTGGTCTCTTCCTGAGCGTCGAAGAAGAAACAGGATCAAGACGTAAGTTTGAATTTCCAAATTGAAAAATCGACTGAATTCAATCGGCGGAAACATGGAGAAATTCTTCATCACGACGGTGATCTTCTGCGTACTGACTGATTCCTCCTCCGCCTCGATGTTTGGGGTGAGTGATTTATAAAGTCGAATTGGGGATTATTATGCACTCCAAGGGGGTGAATCGGTTTGATGATTGAAGCCGTTCAATTATTCAATTTTTGCTTTTAAGATATTAACGATTTTATATTTTAGATTATATTTTGAATGTGTTAGATACAATATTTATTATTTGGGGATTTCTGCTGCCATATGGACACAGTGCATATGACCATATTTGCCATATGATCCACATATGACCCCCATAATACTTATTCTGACCGTTTTGAACCTTAATCTGACCTTCGTGACCCTTAATCTGCTCGTTGTGATCCTTATTACCCTTAATCTGACCCTTGTGACCCTTATTATGGTCTTATGGCCGTTATTGTGACCCTCGTGACCTTATTATGACCCTCATGGCCCTTATTTTGATCCTTGTGACCCTTAATTTTGGAGTCTTTTTTTCAAGGACCAAATTTTCATCACCAGAAGTCGATTTGGATTTTTATAAAAAATAATATAGAGAGATGATTAAATCTTGCGCACGAAGTCATCCAAATATGGTTTTCTTTCTCATATTACGTCGGGCATATTCGTTAAATTCTCTGATAAATAGTTAATTTACTCTTCCTTATATAAATCATTCCTCAATGAATCTGCGAAGCGCTTTGGTGATTCGAAAAATTAAGGGATATTGAAATTTATGAAAAAATAATCTTACCAGAGAATAGAATTGAAGGAAAACAATGAAATGAGCATTTTTCCACTTTTGCCTTGGAAAATACATCGATCCTCCCTCAACTGATGAAAAATTGGACTTCCACTCAAATTTTAAAATAATAAATTTTGCACATTCTGGTTTCTACGGAGTTATCATAGACTCCTGAAGTAGAGAATGCGGCGATGTAATATAGATACCATATTTCCATTTTATCGAATATGACTCGTATGAGTTTTATCCAAAATAATAAAATTTTGACATTGAAATGTATTCCTTCATCGATAAAAAGTGAAGTCATCCAGGAAGCGCATAAAAAGTGAAACAAAAAATCAGCAATATTTTCAGATAGAGAACAAACTGGGACTTACCGCCTCATATGTGTCCCATGTTTGCAGATATATATCCGATAAAACTTCAAAATGTGATGCAGAAACATAAATTATTTATTACAAAAGTTGAGATAATTTTTATATCAGGCATAGAATTTTTTGTTTTTCAAGATTTCTTTTAGATTTTAATCTTCTCCCTTACCTCGAAAAGATAATTGTCACATAAGACTCTGTGTTATTTTGTCACTTCCGGATTAATTATTATCCATAAAATTAGACGGCAGATTGAGCACAAACTCAGTCAGATTGGTTTTATTCGTACTAATTTTGTTTATAATTTATTTAAGATTTTAATCTTCAAAATTTAAGTCATGTATATGATTTAATATCGTTCACTTGATGATTACTCTTCCGGATTTAGACCTACTGCTTGGAGTTGTGGAAATCCTGAAAAGGATATCTAAATTATCAAGTAAATGTAATTATGAAGTAAATTATCTAAAAACGAAGAATGTACTTTATGATACCGTATTAACCTGAATACGATGTAAAAAAAAATTTTTCTAGCAGAATAACATGTAAACTGGTTTTTTTAAGCAGAATAAACCAACAGGTTTGATTGCTATAATAATTTTTAAAAAACTCTTCCGGATTTTCGTGTAAAAATCATAATTCCACAAATTTACGGAATTGTTACCCCCGAATGGTTTTTAACAAATAATCTTCCTGGATTTGAATTTGACAAATGTCATAGTTTATCAGTCCTCTCCTAATGTTGATTGGTCTATTTTTTTTCTCCGCAATAGTTTGGCGGTGGAGGAGGATCCGCTAGAAGCCACGTTGACGGGAAATATGCCGGAGAGCTGAACGCGGAAGCCGGCATTCATGAAGAAGCCCACTTGGGCATCGGAGGTGGAGGACACGTAGAAAGTCACATTGACGGAGCATTCGATGTGGGAGGCCACATAGGGGGATTATTAAGTGGAGCATTCAACGCTCAATCGAAAATCGCGGGAGCGGCAATGGGTGGATCAAAATTGGCTTTGGTAGGAGTGAAGCATGCAGCGGTAAGTGCCGCATCGGGAGTCGCTGGAGCAGTAAAAGGTGGAATAGAACATCTCAGAGAATTCGGGGCAAAACTGAAAGGATCGGGAGACATCGAAGGAGAATTCAGCGAAAAGGGATATGGTGAGATAGGTTACGGCGCAGGAGGACACGCTGACGGAGAATACGACAGGAAGGTCCATGTTGTAGAAGAATACGGCAGAGAGGACCATGTTGGAGGAGGATACGGCAGAGGTGGCTATAGTAAAGGAGTATATAGTGATGGAAGACATGCTGACGGTCATGTTGGAGAAAAATTAGGCACAGGAGAACATGTCGGAGGGAAATTAGGCGCAGGAGGACATGTCAGAGAAAAACTAGGCGGAAGAGGATATGTCGGAGGGAAATTAGGCGCAGGAGGACATGTCAGAGGGAAATTAGGCGCAGCAGGACATGTCGGAGGAAAATTAGGTGCAGGAGGACATGTCGGAGGGAAATTAGGCGCAAGAGGACATGTCAAACCGAATGTCGTTTCGCCCCAAAATTCCGGAGGAAAACTAGGCGCAAGAGGACATGTCGGAGGGAAATTAGGCGCAAGAGGACATGTCGGGGGAGAAGTCGGCGCAGACGGATATGCCGGAGGAAAACTAGGCGCAAGAGGACATGTCGGAGGGAAATTAGGCGCAGGAGGACATGTCGGGGGAGAAGTCGGCGCAGACGGATATGCTGGAGGAAAACTAGGCGCAGGAGGACATGTCGGGGGAGAAGTCGGCGCAGACGGATATGCCGGAGGAAAACTAGGCGCAGGAGGACATGTCGGAGGGAAATTAGGCGCAGGAGGACATGTCGGGGGAGAAGTCGGCGCAGACGGATATGCCGGAGGAAAACTAGGCGCAGGAGGACATGTCGAGGGAGAAGTCGGCGCAGACGGATATGCCGGAGGAAAACTAGGCGCAGGAGGAGATGTTGGAGGGAAATTAGGCGCAGGAGGACATGTCGGGGGAGAAGTCGGCGCAGACGGATATGCTGGAGGAAAACTAGGCGCAGGAGGACATGTCGGGGGAGAAGTCGGCGCAGACGAATATGCCGGAGGAAAATTAGGCGCAGGAGGACATGTCGGGGGAGAAGTCGGCGCAGACGGATATGCCGGAGGAAAACTAGGCGCAGGAGGACATGTCGGGGGAGAAGTCGGCGCAGACGGATATGCCGGAGGAAAACTAGGCGCAGGAGGACATGTCGGGGGAGAAGTCGACGCAGACGGATATGCCGGAGAAAAATTGAGGCAGGACATGGTGGAGGAAAATCCGGTGCAGATCGACGTGCCAGCGAAACAGCTGATATAGGTACAGGAATACACGGAATAGATTCTTCCAAACACTTCCGGAGATTAGGGTGCGTCACTGGATTTCGCAAAAAAGTAGCTAACGAGGCGAAAAACGCTGCAGATGGACTTTTGGGGGTACAATCAACCCTCCGATTGAGGAGCATTCTGCAACTCACCAGACACCAGACATTTGTCTGCATAAATTATGAATATTAATTAATTATAAATATAGATGCGAATCTTTTCAGGGAAACGAAATTCTAGTTCTCATCTGCAGATGCTGACAAAAAAAAATATCTATCATAAAATTGTAACACTTTCCAATTGTTGGGAACAATATTTTCATGAATATAGTACGTCAAATTGGTTGAAATAAAAATTACAATTCGAGGTTTAAGAAGTCTTTTTTTTTCAACCCAAAAAATTATCGAAAAATTGTTGAACTATAATTTTTGTGGGAAGAGATGCGTGTGCATCAGTGCGGGGCACGATTAATTGATAAGAAAACATCGTTATCACGATGGAAACTTGAGGCAACAGTTTTTCTCCGGTGGAATGATCAGCAGAAGCATTCGCCTGTCATCACAGATCCAATGATTATTGCACACTCATTCCACACTCGGTGACCGCAGCATGAAGTTTAATCGCAAGTGGCTGATATTTCACGTTAATATTTTGACTATTGTACATGTCTGCAGTGCAGAAATAAAATTAATTCAAGCAGTGTTTCGTCATGCAGATCGAAACCCTCAGAGTGGAAAGCTTGTGGATATGTACTATCCCTCTGATCCTGATAAATATGAGGATTGGGAGCCGGATGGACGATTGGAACTGAACAACGTAATTAAATAATCTCATTAGAAAATATATTTTCAAATTGTTTAGCGCAACCAGTTGATTTTAGATTTATCGAAAAAAAATTCATCAACTCATTTAATCACATAATAATCCGATAAAACACCCACTTTTTTGCATTTTTGGAATTTCTTCTCGCTGAAATATTGATATTCCTCTAATACTTGAAGAAAAAAACTGATTCAAAGTTCCCGCCGATATAAAATTTAAAAAAATCCATTTTCTAGTCGATTATCCCTTTCTGATTCTTTTTTCAATTCCTTTTCATAATAATAGTTCCTCTTCATTCGCTGTTGTAACTTGTGAATTAAGGAAAAAATATATGTATAATAAGAATAAGAATGAATAAAATGAAATCAATCTATCTAATTGAAAACGGAAATGGAAAAAAAATAAAATAAAACAGTGTAAATTAATTAATCAAGTAATTAATTAATTAAGTCAATCAATGGATCATTTTTTAATTGATTTTGCGTTCAACAATCACCTCTTTACGTTAAAGATGGGAAAATTGACTGCATATAATCTCGGAAAATTCTTCAGGAAGGATTACAATGATTTTTTTGGACCAAAATATAAGAATGATATCGTATACTTTCAATCGGCGGACATGATGAGATCAATTAATACAGCGCAATTGTTAGCTGCAGGACTATTCCCACCGGAGCCCTCACAAATGTAAGTTTTTCTCGCCAAATTCCTTCTCGATTTCACTCAATTTCCACCGAAATTCAGATGGAATCCGGATCTCCTCTGGACCCCAGTCCCAATTCGCGTGACTCATCTCCTGGAGGACTATCTGTTCTACTCTGCGTTAATGTGCGAGAATTACAAGATCGACAAATTGGAATCGGAAGCCGAGGTGCAGAGACTGCTGTCAGTCTTATCAGACATGCGGGGATTCCGAAATTATCTGAATCTTCACACCGGCGTTAATCACACGAGAAGCTTTCAAGGTTGGATGCTATACCATCAGTTCGCTGCCAAGGTTTGTTGACTGTGTCAACTCGCAGCAGCAGTTTTACAGGATATTTTCCAATTGTTTGAATTATTTGTTTTTCGTCACGCACGATAAAATTAAGTAAAAAACCGAGCGAATTCGTTAGAAAATTCTATTGAACTTTCTATTATTTTGGCCGATGAGTCTATCGGAATGTTTAATTAAAAATATTCTATAGCAATTATTGGAATTTCCTGGGCTCAAATTTTTTCAGTTTTTTTCATTCTACTTTTTTTCTTTTCATCAAGAAAATGAACAAAAAAAATTATTTTTTCATTTTTTCTATAGAATATTTTCTATTGAACATTTCAGTAAAATCGGTCAAAAACTAATAGAAAGTTCAATAGAATTCTGTCGAATTCGCTAGGTTTTTCTATTAAATTTTTCGAGAATGTTTTGAGAAAAAATCTAGAAAAAACCTAGAAAAAATCTAGAAAAAACTTAATAGCTGAAACAATACTTCAGGAGTGAAAATTAAAATGTTATTTCTCTCATTTTTAATAATTTTCATCATCAATCTGATGATTATTTTGAGAATGAGTTCATTGAAGACGAAATTGGACAATATATTGGATTTATATTGAAACTTCCATTATTTTTTGGCCGAGTCTATCGAAATGTTTAATTAAAAATATTCTATAGAAATTATAGCAATAAAAATTAAAATTTCCTCGGCTCAAATTTTCTGTTTTTTTCATTCTATTTTTTTTTTCATCAAGAAAATCAACAAAAAAAAATTCTGCCAAGGAAATTTCTGTAGAAACTATCTCAACAGAATAAATTGAACGGAAAAACCTATTTTTGTATTTTTTTTATGTAAGATTTTCTAGTGAACATTTCAATAAAATCGGCCAAAACCTAATAGAAAGTTCAACAGAATTGTCTGGCAAATTCGCTAGGTTTTTCTATTAATTTTTTCATGCGTGACGTCTTCTTCTTTTAATATTTTGAAATGTAAATGAAAATGTTGTTTCTCTCCTTTTAAATAATTTTTCCATCAATCTGATGATTATTTTGAGAATGAATCCATTGAAGACGAAATTTGCAGAAAATGTAAAGGACTAGAAAAAATCTAATGGAGATTTTGAGCCTCTGGATATTCTCACGAAATAGAATGGATTTTTCAGACAAGTGTTGGACGTGAGTTGGAGTCTTGGGCCAGAGAAATATTCCCAGAGGGTAAACTGAAGGATATCAGCGCTGTGGAGTACATTCTCCAGACTTACACAATGAGGATGAAACGACTGATGGGGGGCGTGTGGCTCAAAAAATTCTTCAATGCCTCCGAAAAAATAGTGAACAATGAAAAAACCCAAAAAGGATTTTTTTACGCTGGAAATGAAGTCCACGTGGCAGGAATATTAAATACTCTCGGGGTCTACGAGCCTCATGTTCCCGGCTATGCCAGCGCTGTGATATTCGAACTGCATGAGGTTGAAGGAGAATTTTATGTGAAGGTTTGTCAAATTTTCCTGAAATTTCAGAGGGAAAATATCGCGAATAATTTACATTATTTCAGATAATCTACAAAGATGGAGAAACTCCAGTCGATCTGCAAATCCCGGGCTGTGGAGTCTTCTGTCTCCTCTCAACGTTCAAATATCTTTTGAAGAATGTTACTCTGGAGAATTTCGAAGAGGACTGCGGAAAAATAACAGACTTTTGGATGACTTCTCTCTAAATACAGTGAGAAAAATATTACTATTAGGTTGAGACAATAATTTACAGGAAGATCTTGTGTGGAAATTTCGGGGATTCGCTTGCCTCAATTTACATTTCTCAGTTCGAATATCGGAACTCGGAATGATTGGATTATTTATTCTGTTTCTAGATTCTTGTCATATCTCGAGTTATAATAAATGACACTTGAAAAATATTAATTTAATAGGCAAATTTGTCTTTCAATTTTATCAACATAAACTCCAATCGAGTGGAAATAATTCCTGGATGTGGATATATCTTCTGTCCACTAACAAAATTTAGCAGGATTTTAGAAACTCTAGACTCCGAAATTTTAATGGAATCTGTAGATCAAACATCGGCCAAATGATAAATTATAAATAAAGTTAAATTACTCATAAATTTCAACTTATGATGTTATTCATTTTAATTTTAAATTTCAATTAATATTAATATTGACATTAATTTTATTAATTATTAAATTAAAAACCAATTAGGTATCCAATTTCGAATTATTCTATCAATCAATTGATAATTTTTATTTGATTCCCTCTAATCATCACAATTCGAGACCAATTAAATGTGAATAATCATTAAAAAAACATCATACATCGTTCTAGAATGTTTCAGAACAATCCAGACGAGTGCAAAATAACTCAATGACGTGCGGAAATAACGTCAAACTCCGAGATATTGAGAAATTAACAATTCACACATTGTTATTCGTTTTCCCACATAATTTCGCCACTCGTTCCATTTTATGCCATCCAACTCCAGTGGAATTCTCCTACGGTCGACCCTATCTTCCGGAATGTTGTGGAGCTGAGCAGAAGTGACTGAAACAATTCGCTCGGGCTATTTATTTTCTCCTCGAGAATTGCGCAATCCCGTGATAAGGAACAACAACTCTTTCATTCGATAATTGTAATCACTGACGAAAAAACATTTCCGCATTCACGTTGTTCCCCCAATGTTGTTTGCAGAGGAAAAACACATCTTGCTTACAATTGCTGGGGAGATGTGCAACACAAAGAGTTGCGGATAGTTTCCAATTCTAAAAATTCTTCAACTGAGAAAATTTCGCATGAAAATGAGATTAAGGGGAGACTACTGTGAGTTTTAAAAGTCATGGGTTATTGGAGTGAGACTTTTCATACGTTGAAGATCGATTAAATGGATCTGAAAATGAGTAATTAGTGGAAATTTTTTTTTTTTTTATTGTTCGTTTGCTCGAAAACGCTTAAAATGCTAAAAGCAGTCCAGGGCCTCCAATTTTTGAGCTACAAAAGATTTTTGTTTTCAAAATTTTCGGAAAAATGTGTGAAACAACAATTACAAGCCATTTTTTTGGAATTCGACTCCTACACAGCTGATTTCGTTGTTTTTTCATATAAAAAAATTCACTATTTGTGTAAAAAAAAACAAAAAAAGCATATTTAGCCACGTAAAAGGTGAATTTAAAAAAAATACCTCGTAATTGTTATTCCACATACTTTTGCGAAAATTTTGAGAAAAAAAATCATTCGTAGCTCAAAAATTGGAGGCCCTGGACTGTTTTTGGAATTTTAAGCGTTTTCGGGTAAACGAACAATGAAAAAAATTTTTTTTTGCACTAATTATTCGTTTTCATATTTGTATAATCGATTTCCAACGTATGAAAAGTCTCACTCGAATGACCCACGACTTTTAAAACTCAGTAGCCTCCCCTTAAATAAAAAATGAGGAACTGCTGGCTTTTGAAAACAGAATTTAATTACCTCGAAGGAAAATAAAATGATCCTGCATTGCCTACTGAAAATTCATGTGACCCAGTTTACTTTTATCATTGGCGAAATGAAGGTTTCGATTGCTCTCCAAGATCGCAGCCTCGTAAATTGTGACAACTCGTCGATTCAATTTCCGGAGTAAATAAAACTCAATGACGATAATCAGAGAATTCAATTGTCTTCGCAACGAGATTGAAAATTTTCTCTCCCTCTGAACTCTGAACTCAGCGAGGCGTTTACTGTCACACGTACAACTTGATTGTTTTCAAAATTTCGCAAGGCAATGAAACAGATGAAAATCAGATAAAAATATTAATGAATCAATTAGTTGGTAATTTATTAACTAATACGGGGCTGGAGTCAACTCACGGAAACCAGAATCTGACGTAAACCGGGAGTCTGGGCTATAATCTGTCGTTCCCCCGGTGAATAGAATTTTTTTTTCGTTTTAACTCTCAAGCCTCTGGGCTGGTTGATGCAATACTGCAAGTGGTTTACGAGGTTCGTAGAGGCCCTCGAGACCATCTGGGATTTCCGGAGGTCTCTCAATCGAAAATCGAAAACAAAATGCAAACGTCAAAATAATAAATTTTCAATCGAAATAATTTTATAATCGAGTCTTCATGATTTTTTAAATGATTGCTAATTGTGATTTATTCGTTAATTGATTAATTCATGAAAAATATTCATAAATCAATTTATCAACTAAAAAATATGTCGTGTAGTCTTTCCCTCGGCGCGATCTTTGATCCCTAATCTTGAACTCGTCCAAAACATGTCTAATCTCTCACAATTTCACGATTTTTTGAAACGAGATCGAATGGCGAAATGTGATAATATTCCCTGAGCTGAAGCCTCATCTGCTCTCTCCGAACTAAACCCTAAAACCTCCGGATTTATCCCGACAAGACTGGAATTAAATTCCCAAAACGTCATGAATTGATTGATCGCCCCAAAAAATTTTAATTTCCACGAGAAAACTCGACGCAAATTCCTCCGTAAAAATTATTACACCTCGACTAGGGTCCGGCCGTATTTTATGGGCTATCAGGCCCAATTATCCACTTCAAATCACCGGTAATCATCCAAGTACTTCACGTGATCATAATTGCAGCTTGTCCCCTGGAATGCTATTCGCTGAATGGAGAAAATAATCTGCGAAAATGGGGCCAACCGTTCACTTTCGTTTCATCTACTCTCAACTTCATGGGAAAAAATAAATAAATAAAGAAAATGGAAAATAAATGAATACACTAATAATAGTAACAATAATCAACAATTATTTTCACTTTCATTTCATCTAGTCTCAACTTCGTGGGAAAAAAAATTAATTATTTAATTAAAAAATGATAAATTAAAAAATAAATCAATATGTTAGTAATAGTAGCAATAATCATTAATTATTTTCATTTTCGTTTCATCTAGTCTCAACTTGGGAAACGTGGGAAAAAATAAATAAATTGATTAATAAAAAAATAAATGAATATGCTAATAATAGCAGAAATAATCAACAATTATCATAAACGAGGAGTAAACAATTGGGCTATCTCTGTCATTCATTCATTGAAGTGGGCAAAATACATTTTGATAGAATTAAAATACTGATTTTATTGCGCATTTTCAAAATACTCAGTGAAATAGATCGATATATTATTACATTTCTATAAAACTTCTTTTTTGAGATTTTTTCTGTTGAAATTAAACTTGAAGGGCTGAACTGTCTATTTCTGTTATTTTATCCTTTATAAGAGACAATGAAAAATAAATTACAATAATATATAGAAATTATTCCAACAGAATAATTTGTAAAAAAACAATCTATTGATGATTGAGCCTTGAACATTAAAAAAAATCCAATAGATTTTCCTGACTCTAAATCAACATTTTTCAACTGTGAAACTTTGAAATTGCACTTTTAATTCGTTATTTCCTTGATGTTACAAAATTTTTTTTTGTGTTACATCTGCACATGCCTCTCTCCTCCTTCTCAGAATAGCCATAATTTAACAAGGTCAAATAATTATAACAAAGTTGCCTTACGCCTCACCCTCCAGTGAACAATAACACAAAGGCAAGCAGATCTTGCCAAAAGCCAACGCGGGCAGAAATATTCAGTAAAAATTACAGAACTCACTTCGCTCACCGATTACGGAATCGACTCAGAAAATTTAAGAGAGACGATATCGTAATTTTTCACAGGAGATTCAGCTAAAGATTACGGAACACTCTGGAAAAATTCCGTGATTTTAGGTAAAAATTACGGAGCTTTCGGGAAAAATTCCGTAATTTTAGGTAAAAATTACGTGACAATTCCGTAAAATTTTCTGCAACCACAATCCGCTCCGAAATTACGGAGACGATACGTCATTTTTATTGAATATTTCTCGCCGTGAACGCGGCTATCTGCACCGTTTTGAAACATTCTTAAGAACATTCGCAAATAATTTAAGAAAATTTTTACAAATGACATGTCACGTTCGTGCTGAAAGATCCGTCTCCGACGCTCCATCCTCCGCTGATGGTGCGGTTCCATCCGCATTGAAACCGCACTTTATATTCACTAATTCGTGAAGCGCGTAAAATAGCATTCAGGCAAATCTCGCGGATGGAAATTGCTGATGAAACCGAGCCCACGGGGGCCCTCAGAACCCATGAAACCCGACGGGATATTGCATAGTACTCGATTGAATCATGTTCAGCAAAGTTTATTTGCGATGAAAAGAGCGGCGAAGGCACTGCGATAGGGCCTGCCCACTCAGTCTGCATTCAAACGCTGTCCGAGTCACATCGAAACTCGATTTGCCCAGCAAGTGGTCCATTACTTCGACCAATAAACATTGCAATCATCACATTAATTTCGTTTCCCGTCATAACATCAAGTTCCCTGATAATTATTCTCTTTAAAGTATTTTAAACCAAAATACATAAATCAATTGGATAAAACGGAATAGAAAAATAACGAATCATCAAAGGAAAATACTCAAAGAAATAAATAACGGGAATTCAAATACTGGAGTAAAATTAAGAGACTAGAAAATCGATTAATAAATCACTAATAAATCGACTAATAAATCGATTTGTTTAAGTTAATTGGAATAAATTGGAAAAATGCCGAGCAGTAAGACAAGGGTAGCAATCGTCGGAGGTGGGGTTGCTGGACTCGTCGTGGCCAGACACATCTCATCCAGACCACAGGAGTTCGATCTGACTCTGTTCGAACAAACCGATGGCGTTGGTGGCACCTGGGTCTACACCGACGCCACCGAGCTCGACAAAAATGGGCTCGAGGTGCACAGCAGCATGTACAAAAATTTGCGGTAAATATCCCGCGATTTTAAACGATTTCTCAGAGTTAGTAAAATTGTTAATGAAGTGGTGGAACAAGATGGAGCAGTTTAGCATAAATTCGTGGTCGGTTTTTTGTGAATATCTTGAAATCTAAGGGGAATAGGATGATTTATGTGAAATACTTTTTTGTAGCACTTAAAATTCTACAGAAAAAAGGTCGTTATGAAAATTTTGCTGTCTCCGTAAGATTTGGAGATATTCATGCGCGAATGGGAGCAGACTATGATAATGTGGGCAGGGAGCCCTATCGATTTTAAATTTCTGAAATATTACAGGGATCTGCCCCTTGCATTAATAAAGGTTCAAAATATACTGATCAAATTTTGGAAATAGTATAATATTAATAATTTAATTTTTTCGATTAATGATGAATTCAATATTTTATAGTATGAAAATGGAAATTTACCATTAAGTAATAATTCTAATTGATTGAAAGGGGATTTTCTATTGGGCAATTAATAAATTATTGGCTAATAAAATAGTTGAAAATTTCAATATTTAAATTGATTTAAAAATTTAAGAGTGATGTTAATTAATTGACGACTACAATATTACACGGTAATTACATTTTTCGGATTTGGCTATCCCTGAATGTGGAATTGAGTGTACACTAGCTGGAATATAAATTTATGATAAACCGGGTGACACTTGAGATACACTGGTGACCGGTGATCAGATATTGTAGGCTGAAACTTGAGTAAAAATCGTTGAGAGGAGATTTGAAAACGGTAATTAGTGATTTCGGGGTTTTTCAGAACGAATTTACCAAAAGAGATCATGCAGATACCAGATTTCCCGTTTCGGGAGGAGGATGGGCCTTCGTTTGTCCACCATAGTGTTATCAGGCAGTATTTAGAGGACTACACGCAGCATTTCAATCTTTATCCTCACATAAAGGTGCGCAGATGAGAATAAAACGTGTTTTCAAAAATGCGTTTTCCGCAAAAAAATCATTTTGGTAATATCTCGACAACGAGCGAATTTAGAGAAAAATGTCGTAAAAGATTTTTTGTAGGAAATTCAATTCTCTGCAAAAAATATTTAATGACATTTTTCGCTAAATCCAATGGTTTTCGAGATATTCGCAAAATAAGAGAAATGAAAAAAATTGAAAAACAATGTTTTCAGTTTTGCATTATTCATTCGATTAGCGAACATTGAAAAAATAGATCATTGACATTTTCCGATGCTGACAGTTCAACACTCTGGTGACACGCGTTGAGCCATCGACGTCACTGGGCGGTCAGACAATCTACATGATCACTTATGAGGATCTTATCAGCAAAGTTCAATACACCAAGACCTTTGACGTTGTCGTATTATGCAATGGGCATTACACCGTTGGTGCTGTACCTAGGATCAAGGGGAGTGATACATTTCCCGGGAATTGTATTCACAGCCATCAGTACAGAATTCCGGAGAAATATGCCGGAAGAAAAGTCTGCATACTTGGGGCCTCGTGGTCGGGGATCGACATCGCTATTGAGGTCTCCAAACACGCGAGTAAGGTAATTAAAGCCTGATTTCGCGCATCATTTCCTTCTGTCATGTATAATGCATTATTTATTCCATTTTATTAAATTGAATAAGATTTCTTTTCAATTAATTTTGCCAGATTTTCAACTCAGTTGGATGTTATCATCATCATTATTTTTATTATTCCTTTCTTCTATACAACCGATTGTCTTTTTTACAGTTCTATCTCTCCCCTCAGCTTTTCAATAAAATGTTAATAGAAAAATTTTATTTACACATACTTGAATGAATTTGGAACATCACATTTGAGGAAACCGTCAGAAAGCTCACTTTCAGGGAAATTCATGAAAAATTCGAAATTTTCAACAATCATCATAAAAATCAAATCAACCAATACAGCTATCGTAATCATCTTTTAACTTCGACTTAATGGCATTAAAACAAACATTTTAAGCTACGATTGAATTCATTTGAAGCATGATATTAAAAGATACCCCCGGAATTCTGATTCTCAAAAAATACAAAATTTTTGCAAATTTTCAAATAAATCAAAATAACGATTATTGCTATCGCCTTCATCTTCGCACTCGATCAAAAGGGCATCCAAACAAATTTTTTAATCCATCAATCAATCAATTCAGAACATTTCTTTAGTTATCGCGAGACAACCGATTTTCGAAAAAATTCGAAAATTAAAAAAATGATGGATGAATTATTAAATATTTATTTATCCTATCAAGATCTACTTGAGCCACAACCAAGAGAGTTTGGATGCAGTGATGCCGGCCAATGTCGAGCAGAGGCCAGGGATTGCCTCGATCGACGGTAACACCTTCATTTTCAACGATGGAACGACCGCGGATGTCGATGACTTCATCTACTGCACTGGTGAATAAAAAATAATAAAAAATATTCCTCCGTAAACAGTTCCGCGCAGGAAACACGAATGTTTTGCTAAACTTTCAGGCTACAAATTCACGTACCCATTCCTGTCCGACAAAATCGAACTTCTGACTGAGGAGAATCACGTGGAGCCCATCTACAAGCACCTGATCCACACAGAAATGCCGAATTTATTCTTCATGGGACTCCCCGGAATCGTCATTCCCTTCCCAATGTTCCATATTCAGGCCCAGTACATCCTGAAGATCCTGCAGGGTCATCTCAAACTCCCCTCGCCAGAGGAAATGCGGATGGATTTCATGCGGGAGAAACAGATGCTCTTGGATCAAGGAATTCCAGTAAATAATTAACTCCTACCCGAATTTTCGAACAATATCTCCGAATCTAAGAGAAATAGCAAAATTTTCGTTATGAACTTTTTTGTAGCTCCTGATTCGCTCTACAAAAAAGGTTATTATAAAAATTTCGCTATCTCCCTTAGATTCGGAGATATTTTTGACAGCAGACCAACAGCCAAAATCTACTTGAACCGTTTTACCACTTGGCCACTAAATTTTTTTTATTGCTGTTCAATTTTCGAATTATTTACAAGAGAACGTTTTTAGCTGAAGCAAAAATACTTTTTCTGATTTTGTGATCGTTTTTTTTCGTTTAATTTGTTCATTTAGACGCGACATATTAACAAAATAATGAAATGAATTGATCGAATGATTTTTTTCTCCGTTCAATTTGTTAATTTAGGTTCGACATATCAATAAAATGAAAGATCGACAATGGTCATACTACGACGAGATAGCAACAGCAGCGAACGTCCCATCGTTTCCTCCAGTAGTTAAAAAAATCTACGACCACGCGAATCAGATGCGAGAGCTGAACTTCACGACGTACAAGAACTATCAATACAAAATCCTCGATAAGGAAAACTTCAGTTTCTGTTACTGTAAAATTTGTTAGGGTCTAACCCGCAATGATAACGAAATAATTATTGCAATAATCGCTAGTTGTAATTCTTGACTAATAAATTAATTAAATGAAGCAATGAAAATGGAGTTATTCATTCTACTAACAATTTTTTGAAAACCTTCTTCATGAATTTCGCGATTGAAGAGTTTAAAGGACTCGAATTTTGAAGATTAAAATCTGAAATAAATTCTAAATGAATGTTAATACCAATAGAAACATTCTGGTTGAGTCTGCGCTCAATCGCCAGTCTATTATCGTCAAGTTTTACGAGAAAATAAAATTTTCCACGTTAAAAAATAGATTGAAGTCTAGAGAAAATCGTTAAAAAATCATAAAAAATAAATAAAAAGTACATATCCAATCCAAAAATTATCGTCAGTGTCAAAATTTTGTAATAAACAATTTATAACCACAAAAATTATCAAAAATGAAAAAAAAACGCACAATGCGCCGGTTTCAGATTCTTTTTTTTTGTTTCAAATTGCATTAAAAAAATGTTGACGCAAAATAAAGGGAAATACACGTCTTCTCCCAGTTTTGCACCATCAGAATGAAGATGTTTTTTTCTTTTTTTTACTCGAAAAAAGTAATTTTTTTATGCGCAACATCTTTTTCTAGAAAATGGAAGTAGAGTTGAAAACCAGAGTTGTGACAACATTGTCCAGTGGGGTCTAGGAGTCTCCCCTGGTGGGAAAATCATCCTTAGAATCATCTGCACTATATTTCGAGACCCGCTCCTGCACTCGGGCCCCAAAAAAACATTCACATCTTAAAATTACCAGCGTTCACATATCAAAAAATTATCAACGATGAATAATTTTTTTTTTCTCGTTTTTAAAGTGTATCCTTGCTCGTTACACTCAACGACTCAACTGGAGTTCATTCCTACTCCTTAAATCCCCTCGTGGCGCGAAAAACCCGCGCATGCGCAGTGCGCAACTCCCTTAGCAACAGTCGATTTGACAACAAATAACACCTCTCACTCATGCCCCCTTGTTTACAACTCATTTTATTATTTAATTTGTCTGATTTATCGAGTGGAAAATGTCTGAGAGTGATGACCACGAGGTCACGACCACCGATACGAAGAGAAATCCATCGGTGGCGTCACTGGAGCAAAACAAATCCAACGTAAACATTGAGCCGCTCGACGATGTCGAGGCAGACTCCTCACAGGCGGTTTATCAAATTCGTCCACAACTGTCTGACAAGTGAGATAATTGCTCGATACTTTAGCCAATTGATTGTGGAAAAGACCTGTTGTTTTATTTCTTGAGATGTTTTTTTTTCATCTGCTGAGGAGAGAACTTTTAACCTTAAATTTCCCTGCAGATTCAAACCTCAGCTGGTGAAGGAACTGATTGACGATATCCTGCATGATCATTTGGCTGCCAAGAAGTACTCTATCGAGGAGGCCAACAAGTTGAGCAGGACAATTGCTGATTCCATTAGAATTAAAGTGAAAGGTTTGGGAAATTACCTTTTTTTTCGATTATTCGCAGCTCTAAAATCGATTTCTTTTAATTAAAAAAAATTATTCGAGACGTTGGTAATACTTGGAAATTATTTTTAGAGTTGAAAATACTTTTTTTCGTCATTCTGGGGCATTACCGATTTTTAAAAAAGGTTTTTCACGTTATTTTATGAATTATATAATATATTTTGGGAATATCTCGGAAACTGCTGGGTTTAGAGAAAAATATCACTAAAGCTTTTTTGTAGCTAATGAAATGTCCAACGAAAAGTGTCTTATGACATTTTCCTCTGTAATTGATCATTAGCGAGATAATCCTAGTAGAATTATGATAACGTAATGGGGAGAGTGGAGAAATGATTCTAAATTCTATGGTAACTGTTGTAATTCCAGAACTCCATTATCGACAGTACAAATACGTAGTGAATGTCATTCTGGGGGAGTCGAGAGGCGCAGGAATGAAGATGGGGACGAGATGCATATGGGACGCAGAGGCCGACAGCTACGCTCACGGGAGTTTCAAAAACGAGACGATCTTCTGTGTGGCCTGTGTCTACGCTGTTTTCTACTACTAAAAATTTTTATTAACGAGTCTCATCACTTCTTTATGAAGAGAACACTAGTATTAATTGACGAAGTTGCTAAGTGCAGTACTGAGACCATGAGATCGATTCTAGCTCATCTCTAAAGACGATTATCAATAATATAATATAATTAATTTAATATATGAATGAATGAGAGTTAATTTGATAAATAAAAAGAATAGCAATTGAAGCGTTTTTGCTGAAGTTTTGCGTCACTCATTTGTTTTACACGTCATTAATGAAAAATAATTGAAAATAAAATAATTGGAAAATGGAGGAAGCTGGGGAAATATCGACGAATGATCTAGAAATTATTGACTCCCACAAAAGTATTATCGAGAGAGACTCAAGGGAGATCTCTGGTGGATGGAGGATCATCACCATGTTCCTTCACTTCATGTCTGCAGGCTCTGGATACGCCTGCTCAACACTATTCTACATTTTCTGGGTGAAAACTCTCAAAAAAATTCAAATTATCCTGCGAAAAAATTATTTTAATCCGTGAAAAATATTTGAGTTTGTTCCCCTGAATAGAAAGACATTTTTGGGATGAACTGCCCCATCTGGGCGAGCCTGGAGCCTCCGATACACGTCAGATTGCTCAGGGAGATGGGGACTGAGTTGGTTGAAGAAGAGGGGCCCGAATTCGTCACTGACGACTGGAGGAAAAAATTAATAATCGAGTTTAAACATGATTTACACTGCAATTTCTTCTTCTACACTAACTTGTGCTCGTGTTCCTTTGGGGTTGTGTGGCTCATGCTGTTTTGGAGGTGTGGAAAGGGCGGATATGACACGAGAGTGCAAGTATTTTCCTTAGAATTTCAATTTCATGGGCAAATTATTTCGGTGAAATGAAGAAAAGTGTCGAAATATCATTTTTGTAGTTGAGAAAAATTCTCTGGAGAAGTCACTGGATCATTAGTAAAAATATATTTGCAGGTTTACAGCCCCTTGGAGGATTGTTCCGCCCGCTTTACTATTTCACATAATTTTTTCGCCAATTGTCATCGGCGTTGTTCATGATTTCTCGTATGGCTACTGGAGTTTTACGAAGAACTTGAAAACAGTTGCGTCATCGTACATGAATACAACAGAAATGTCAAGATTTGAGAAGTAAACTTTATCTTCAGTCAGGAGATGATGGGGTAAAATGGACACTTTTTACTTTTTTTAAAATACTAATGACTTACTGAATTGTTTTAGAAATGGAATCATTTTTTTTTTCAATAAAAAGTACAATTCTTCTTCCTTGTGATGAGCCTAGACTGGGATCAATTGATAAATTTATTTGAGTTATGAATATAAAAAAAAAGTCAAGTGTCCATTTTAACCCATTCTCCACTACTCAAAATTCCCTTCCACTTGAAAATAAATATTCTTTCAATCAGAAAAAACTTCAATTCAAGTCCAATTTTTTGTCATAAATGAGAGAAAAATTTACTGATTTTTTTTATCGCCTTGCAGACACTGTGAGATAGTCTCGTATTATCTGGAGGTCTACGCTATCAACAGATATAATATTTGTTACGTTTACACAGCAATTCAGGTACTAAAAACATATAATCATCGTATCATTGTTTTTCAAAATTTTGTTTCCCATTTTTATTTGAAAAAATCAAGATTTCCACAATTCTTTTGATATCTCTGTTTAAATCTATTCAAAAAACTAATATTAAAAAAATATTTATTTTTGTCGTAAATATTTATGAAATAAAACTAAATTTAAAAAATCTATGACAAAAATATTAAAATATTTAATAAGTAAAATAAATATGTAGTAAATACTTTTTTACAAAATATTTACGACCTTATTCTGCAAATTTCCTCAGTCTCATCTTTATTAATCTCCTGAATAAAATAATTATCTAGGTATTTTCGTGGATAATGGCCTGGAGTTGGCTTTCAATCCTCGGTGTTCTCTCCCTGCGTGTGATAACAGCCACAGATTTTCGTTTGCTCATCACTACAGTGTACAAAATTCCTAAGAAATCTTCACGAGAACGAAGATCCACAGCTGAGAAGAACGAGACTCAGGAGCCACCAGTGGTGAAGAATAGAATGAAGAAAATAGTCTTCGCGATTCCAGAACGAGACCCCAATCAATCGAATCGACCGTCACTTGTAATTTGAGATTAATTAAGAAGATCCATGTATTATTGAGTTAATGCATGATTAATTTAATTAATTTAATTTATAATTTAACTTGCAATTAAATAAAAATACGAAAACAATATTTTCCGTTTATGAAAATAACGTTTTCTTCATTTCAAGTGAATAATTGACGGGTAATTCGTGATTTATGATGATTTATGTGTGATAACTTCATATTTTCAATTTCTTCTTTCAAGATCTCGTGTTTCTCTGCAGAATCCACCAAAAATTTGAACAGCTTTGGATTCACAAGGAGAAAAGCTGTTTGATACAGTTTCAAAAATTTTTTTCTCAATGAATTCTTCTTTCGCCTTCGTTCAACCACGAGTCCTTTGAAGTTTCTGTTTGAATCTATTCATTAGAAAAATATTTGCGATATCTTGACGAGAACAAAGACCCACAGTTGAGATGAACGAGACCACAATCAATGGAATCGATCGTCACTCGTAATTTGAGAATATTTAAGAAGATCGATGTATTATTGTGTTAATGCTTGATTAATAATCCCACATTCGTAATTTAATTTGTAATTGAATAAAAATACAAAAACAATATTTTCCGTTTATGAAAATAACGTTTTTTCTTCATTCCAAATGAATAATTGACGGGTAATTCATGATTTATAATGATTTATGTGTGATAACTTCACATTTGCAATTTCTTCTTTCAAGATCTCGTGTTCTTCTGCAGAATCCCACAAAAATGTCAACAGCTTTGGATTCACAAGGAGAAAAGCTGTTTGATACAATTTCGAAAATTTCTTTCTCAAGGAATCCTTCTTTCTCCTCCGTTCAACCACGAGCATTCTGCCCCTGTCAGTAATTCCCGCTATTTCCTTCAATTTTGACGAACATTTATCAATTTCGAGAGACAATCCACGAGAGGTTTCTTTCACGTGAGCTAAAGTCTGAAAGAGAAACCGAAAATTCAAGTTATTCACTTTCATCATCAACTTACAATTGTTACGTAAATATCTTCCAAAATAATGGGTCTACGAAAAAATATCACAAGACCTTTTTTGTGGGAAATTTAATTCTCCACAGAAAAGTTTCTATAATATTTTTTTGTGAATTTGATAGTTCTCGAGATATTCGCGGAATAGTAACGACGAATTTTATTTACTGGTGCCATCGTCAAAATCTGCTTTCGAATGCTCCCGACTTCTTCCTCGCGTTCATCGAGCCTCTCCCCCAGGCTGTTCTTCGTAGCTGACAGATTCGTGTAGAGATTGACAGTTCTCCCCTCCCCATAATCATTCAACCGATCGCATTCACTAGTAATTCGCTCTAATAAATTCTTGAGCTTGAAGAACTTGACCCTGATTTTTACGAGATTTCTTATCCTCCGCTCCTGTCTCCTCATCAAGAAATGGATTTTCTTCGGGGAGAATCTCCCTTCTAGACACTCAGACACTTCTGACTGTTGCGAGAGGAATTGCTGTTTAATTTCCTCGAAGATGACTAATTTATCCTGATAATTCTCCCCTAATTCCCTCAATTCATTTCGACAATGACGTTCTGCGATTTGCGTGTCTGATTGCATTGCTTTGAAGGTATCCAAAGTCTCTTCATACCTGGGAAATAATTATTATTGAAATCTATTTCATTCAACGTCTGCTAATTCAGTAAAAACCCACGAATTCGGAATTTTCGAGAACGAAGGAAACTTTCCCTTCAGTTTTTCGTGAATATCTTCAAAACTGTGAGGTTTAGAGAAAAATGTCATAAAAGCTTTTTTACAGAGAATTAAATTTCACGTAAAAATGTTTTATGACTTTTTTTTCTAAATTCACTCGTTCCAGAGATATTCGCAAGATAATGGGGGAAAAATTGTTTGTGACTCGGTTTCAAGCATTCAGGGATTTCAGTTCAGTTTTTCGTGAATATCTTCAAAACCGTGAGGTTTAGAGAAAAATTTTATAGAAACTTTTTTGCAGAGAAATAAATTTCACGTAAAAATGTTTTATAACTTTTTTTTCTAAATCCACTCGTTCCAGAGATATTCGTAGAATAATCGTGAAAAAATTGTTTTTTCACTCGTTTTCAAGGGTTCAGGGATTTTTGACTTTAGGAATTACTTTTTGTCATCGTAAATCGATGCGCCCGAGGGTTTCTCAAAGTAACTCATGATCTTGTATCTTCCCAGGAAGTCCCTGCACTTTTTGTGCAGCAAATTGTTCTTCAGCTTCAGGGATTTCCGTTCCTCCCATAATTCTTTCAGTTGAGAAATTGTGTACAGTCTAGCTTCGATGAGAGACAGTTGTCTGTTGTCTTCCTCTTTCCGTAGAGTCGTTAATAATTCTTCTGAGAAGGGTTTCAATTCTAGATCGATATCTGAATAAAAATCGAACTTATCTGAAAATTCCTCTTCGCATTCTGTTGCTAGAGATTTTTCTGATGACGATGATAAGACAGAAATTCCTTCTTCTTCTCCATCTGAAGTGTATTCTTCGCCCTTTGCATTCTCTTCTTCACCGTAAAAGTAAGGGTCAGAGGATTTATTGAGAAGAAATTTCTCGAGGGAAATTTCATCATCGAAATTCTGGAATTTAGGGAGTTTTTGCTCATCTTCTTCCGAGTCTGAGGACATAGCTGCGATAATAATAATTTTTTGAGGTCCTGAGCAATAGAATTGAGGGTATTTAAAGGTGATTACCCTCTGGTGAATATTCCATCGGTAATTATGGAGAGGAGAGATGATCAAACGTCGAAACACATTTGGGTTTACGATGAATTCATGTCAAATCCCATTTATTTTTGGTTAATCGTTCGATTTTTAAACAATTTTTTAGATTGATTGATTAAATTACTCTTTAGACTAGTCTATGAACATTTAAATACGACAAATAAAATACATTTGCATAATTTAGACTCAAACAGGTTAAAAGTATATTTTAAAAAAAATCTAAAACACGAAATAAAATGATTAATCCTCAAAAAATAAAATGCTCATTAAAATAATGATTAAGATACTCTTCAGACTAGTCTATGAGCATTTAAATACGACAAATAAAATACATTTGCATAATTTAGACTCAAACAGGTTAAAACTATATTTTTAAAAAAATCTAAAACACGAAATAAAATGATTAATCCTCAAAAAATAAAATGCTCATTAAAATAATGATTAAGATACTCTTCAGACTAGTCTATGAGCATTTAAATACGACAAATAAAATACATTTGCATAATTTAGACTCAAACAGGTTAAAACTATATTTTTAAAAAAATCTAAAACACGAAATAAAATGATTAATCCTCAAAAAATAAAATGCTCATTAAAATAATGATTAAGATACTCTTCAGACTAGTCTATGAGCATTTAAATACGACAAATAAAATACATTTGCATAATTTAGACTCAAACAGGTTAAAACTATATTTTTAAAAAAATCTAAAACACGAAATAAAATGATTAATCCTCAAAAAATAAAATGCTCATTAAAATAATGATTAAGATACTCTTCAGACTAGTCTATGAGCATTTAAATACGACAAATAAAATACATTTGCATAATTTAGACTCAAACAGGTTAAAACTATATTTTTAAAAAAATCTAAAACACGAAATAAAATGATTAATCCTCAAAAAATAAAATGCTCATTAAAATAATGATTAAGATACTCTTCAGACTAGTCTATGAGCATTTAAATACGACAAATAAAATACATTTGCATAATTTAGACTCAAACAGGTTAAAACTATATTTTTAAAAAAATCTAAAACACGAAATAAAATGATTAATCCTCAAAAAATAAAATAATTATGAAAATACTCTTCAAATTAGTCTATGAACATTTAAACACGACAAATAAAATACATTTGCATAATTCAGACTCAAACAAGTTAAAATTACATTTAAAAAAAATCCAAAACACGAAATAAATACTGATTGACCCCCAAAAAATAATATAATTATAAAAATACTCTTCAAATTAGTCGATGAACATTTAAACAAGACAAATAAAATACATTTGCATAATTTAGACTCAAACAAGTTAAAATTATATTTTTAAAAAAATCCAAAACACGAAATAAATACTGATTGACCCCCAAAAAATAAAATAATGATTAAAATACGCTTTAAACTAGTCTACAAACATTTAAACACGACAAATAAAATACCTTCACATAATTAAGACCCAAACAAATTAAAACTATACTAAAAAAAATTCAAAACACGAAATAAAATATAAATTAACAATTCGAAAATTAATTTTCACGAGATTAGCATCGCGCTCTGCATTCAAAAAAATCTGTGTCCCCCCTCCCAAACCCAGTGAAGATGGTGGTGGCCTAGGGACCCCACATCCTAGTCACCATATTCTCTCTGATCTCCCCAACAACTTGGCAGTTCTTATATTTCCTATCGTTTTGTCTGTACCACCCGAGTACTTTTATTCGTCATTTTTTTTTAATCCATCCCCACTACTCTTTGTTCCCTCAATCTACACGACCTGCAGTTGCATCTTGGCACTGTGTCACGCTGTTAATCCGAAAAAAATTGTTGAAAAGTGGAGTAAAAAAAGTGGTCGAGTTGCTCCGCAATTCAGGGAGTTGTGGTCACCATTGAATAAACTACTGTTGTTTTTGTACGATTATAAACAACTGTTGTGACACACCTCTCGATGACATTATAGGTCAAATAATTGACAGTAATTCGGTTTCTCCTCATCATCGTCGCAAAAAACATCTCCCCCCGTTCGTTCAGATGCGGAAGAAATGGCCCTTCCTTCGGACACAACTGCATAAACAGTTTCATCAGTGAGGAATATATTATTAAGAGGGATAGTAACTATTAAGCGGAATAGTTTCACTGGTCGTGGGGATTGAAACAGTTCTATAATGTCCTCTGGGATATCGTTGGCTCCGGTGATATCAGTAATTACTGGTGAGTAATACTCGAGTGATTCATAAATATTATTATTTAAATTTTATTATTTATGTCTGGAGTGTTATTGAATTCATTGAATTATTATTTAATAAAATGTAATCAGAGTTGTCTCCGAGTTATCTCCGGAGTTTTTATTTTGCGTTCAAAATTTTTTTCGCAATTCTGGAGTAAATATTGTTATTTTAAATATAAAAGTCATGAGTTTTTTATTGCGTTCAAGAATTTTTTACTCAAAATACGACGAAATATTCTAATTTTTAGAATAAAGATTGAAGACTTCTTGATTCCTGATTTTTCTATTTGCGGGTTTTTCAATGTTTAGAATTATTATTCTACTAATGTTTTTTTTGAATATTATTATTTTAATGAACTATTTTTTGGCTTTATTTTATATATTTTGCATTCAATAACTTTTTATTCTCAATTTAGGAATAAATATTCTGATTTTGAGAATAAAGATTAAACGATTCTTGATTACTGATTTTTCTATTTGAGTGTTTTTTCAATTTTTAGAATGGTTATTCTCCAAATTTTTTTAAATATTATTATTTTAATGAACTATTTTTTGTCTTCTATTCTTACATTTTACATTCACATTTTTTTTCATTCTCAATTTAGGACTAAATATTCTGATTTTGAGAATAAAAATGAAAGAATTCTTGATTCCTGATTTTTCTATTTGTCTTTTCCAATGTTTAGAATGATTATTCTTCTAATGTTTTTTAAATAGTATTATTTCAATGATAATGTTGATATCTGGGATATTATCGAGTTCATTGAGACAATTATTATTCAATAAACCACTCCCCATTGTCTCTAGTTTTTAATCCATTCATCTCGAATAATATTATTCCTGACGCACCTAATTGTTTTACTCGTTGTAATAGAAGAGCAGAGCAATCACTGGAGAGAAGGATGGCTAATTTGACAGCTCAAATAAACATTCTCTTTTTCAAGATAAAAATCGAGGATTTCTAATCGATGATTTCTCCATTAGAATCTCTTCTAATTCGAAACATTATTATTTCAATGAACTAATTTTTTTTCTCTTCAATTCTTATATCTACATTCAAGAATTTTTTATTCTCAATTTAACCCTAAATATTTTGATTTTGAGAATAAAAATCAAAGAGTTCTTGAGTCATTTTCAACGTCTAGAATAATTATTCTTCGAATGTTTTTTAAATAGTATTATTTCAACGACATTGTTGATATCTCAGACATAGCCACTTCATTACGACAATTATTATTCAATAAACGACTCCCCATTGTCTCCAGTTTTTAATCCCTTCATCGCGAATAATGTTATTCCTGACGCATCTAATTGTTTTACTCGCTGTAATAGAAGACTAGAGCAATCACTGGAGAGAGGAATGGCTAATTTGACAGTTCAGTCATCGAGCAAAAGCAGTTCTCGCGGCACATCACCCAGTAGGAATAATCCACCGAGTCATACTCATCAGCGTCAACCGTCAGCAACGTTTGAGCACGCACCGAAACCATGTAATCCCAGCGTGTGAGTGTGACTCAGCAAGAGAATTCCGTAATTCAGTAGCGAAGTGGTAAAGCGGTTTAAGTAGATTGTGACAATTGGCCAGTTTTTAGGGAATATCTCGGAATCTAAGGGAGATAGCTGAATTTTTGTCTGGACCTTTCTTGTAGCACTCAATTTGTTCTAGAAAAAAGGTTATTACGAAAATTTCATCATCTCCTTTAGATTCGGAGATATTTTTCAAAAACTCAACTAAGACATAAGTCGACGAACCGTTTTACCACTTCGCTGCTGAATTTTTTTCAATAGGAAGATTTGAGGGAGTGAAATGGTGCTTTTGCAGGAGTCAGACGGGGGAAGGCAGCACTGGAAGTGGTAGTAGCAGTGGTGGAGGTGGCGTGATCAAGGGGAACAGGCAGAGATCACCGGCGGCACAGGTGCGTGCAGGGGATACTATGGAGGAGGCCAATGTCACGGGAAATGAGAGCGAGGATTTCGCGTCCAACGTGCATCCACCGACTGATGACGAGGGGGTGAGTTGAGGGGGTGTCGGTGGGGGGTCATTAATTAAGAGGTTTAATTAGCATGTGTGAGGGTCGGCAGAGGGTTTGGAGGGGAGATGTAGAAAAGAATACATGGAAAAGAAAATGAAATTCGTCTCGAATGGATAATGTTTCTGTCCTGATTCGAGAATTTTGATATTGTTTATTCAAAGATTTTTTATTCTCAATTCTGGAAATTTATTCAATTTTTGTTTTATTTTATTATTTATTTCTTGAGTTGAGAATAACAGAATAAAGAATAGTAAAGAATAATTTATTTTCAATTCAAGAAGAAAATTCCTGAATCAAGAATATTTATTAATTACGAAATTTTTTCAGTCAATGATTTTTTATTCACAATTCAGGAGATTCATTCTTGAATTGAGAATACTAAACAATAATTGATAGAATAAAAGAATAAAGAAATAATTTATTCTGAATTCAATAATGAATTTCCTGAATTGAGAATAAATAATTCTTAATGATCAAGATTATTTGGTGAATATTCTCGAATTCGGAGTGTTACATTTGATTCAAGAATTTTTGCAACTTCATTCAACCATGCATATTCAGCATTATATTCTTTTTCTCGCATAATGCATGAGACGATTACTGATTCATGAGCTCCCCGATAGAGGAGTCAATGCTTTTTCTTGTGAATGGAGTGACGATAAATCTGCGGTGACTAATGGAGCTCCTGGCGATATTTCTAGTAAACCTATCAAGTCATTCAATCCTCCTCATGAATAAAGAGTATTTTATTTAATTCAAGAATCCTGATTATTTGTCTCGAATTACAAATTCTTTAATTCTTTAGATCGAAGCACTAAACAATGTTCAATTAATTCTCAATTGTCATTTTATTCTCGAATGAAGAATTTTTCTATTTCTTATTCCAGAATGTATTCTGCTCTTGATCCAAGAATTTTAATGGCTCAAATTGTAAATTCTTGAATTCTTAATTGAAGAATTAAAGAATTCAACAATTTAAGAATTTTTTTTTCTCATTTTATTCTCAAAGAATTTTCGCATTTTTCCCTCCACAAACATTCTCTTCTTCTAAAGAATATTTTTTGTTCGCGTCACGTTGTATAACACAATTACAAATTCACTCCAATTTCACCTCGATTAATGAAGCTATTGGTGATATTGATAGGAAACGTATCATCCGACCCAATCGTTCTTATCGAACGGTTCGTCCGAGTTGATAAGTGATGATGTAGACTCCAGTGTTTCACGTGTGAAACAGGCTATCGAAAATATACAGAACAAAATAACAAAGACGCGGGAGCTCATAAGGACCGAGCAGAAAACACGAGATGGTGAGTATTTAATATCTCCGAATCTGAGGGAGATAGCGAAATTTTCATAATGACCTTTTTTATAGCTCTTTCTTCGCCCCACAAAAAAGGTTATAACAAAAATTTCGCTATTTCCCTTAGATTCCGAGATATTTATTAAAAACTGACCGATAGTCAAAATCGACGAGAACCGTTTTACCGCTTCGTCACCGATTTTGCATAAATGAATGAGAAAAAAACCGAATGATGTTTCAGAAAACGTGAACGAATACCTGAAGCTTGCGGCGAGCGCCGATAAGCAGCAGTTGGCGAGGATTAAAACAGTCTTCGAGAAGAAAAATCAAAAGTCTGCCCATAACATTGCTCAACTGCAGAAGAAACTCGACAGCTACATGAAGAAATTGAGGAATTTCGAGATGAATGGACCGCAGGCGAGCCACCGACAGCCGCGAGAGGTGCTTAGGGACATGGGTCAGGGTTTGAAGTGAGTTGAGCACTCGATACTCCTTAATTTTCGATTTTATCAAAAGGCGAAAGCCAAATATTAACTTATCTCGTTAATGAGTGGTTTTAAGCGGAAATGTCATGAACAACTTTTTTTAGGAAATTAAATTTCCTACAAAAAATGTGGTATGACATTTTCCTCTAAAGTTACCCGTTACCGAGATAATCGCAAAATAAAGAGACTTAATTTTTTCATTTTGATTTTACTTCACTTTTCTATTGATTCAATGATTTCTGTATTTAATTTCAGAAACGTTGGTGGCAACATCAGAGACGGTATCACTGGATTCTCAGGGTGAGTACCTCATCCCCAAAAAGCTCGTCAAAAAAATCTAACAAAAATCTGAATTATTTCAGGAGTGTCATGTCCAAGCCACGAGAATTCGCCCACCTGATAAAAAATAAATTCGGCAGTGCCGATAACATCAACACGCTATCACGTAAGTACGCATGACCACCCACGAGTTCATATTCCTCATCTCCAATGTCATCTGTTCGTCTCTCATCGCAAAAATCGTTTGTTCAGATAGAAAATGTAGATGTTAACGAATTGATTAACCGAATGGCCATGAAAATCTTCATAATAGAGTGATCATTGACGATTAATTCGCATTAACCATCTAGTCTTTTCTCCTCGTAATTATTAATACATTAACAACATTTGTGGAAAGACTGACAATCATTGCTAGACCTTGAATTTACTATTTTTCGCTGCCACGACAGTTGACGGTAGTAAGTATATAGTGTACGAAAAATAGTGGTGCATCCCATTAGACTGTGCAATGCTCATGTTCATGATTAGCTGAATGTTCGTGTTTTCTGTCCCAAAGTCTTGACTGAATGTTAACAATTTTCAAACGTGAATAATTTTTAGAATTAGAGTGCCAATGAATCATTCTTCAGTCATTGTTTGTACCCCTGACATCTCTTCAGCCCTTCTCCACCCCCCGATTATCCAATACTAACGCTAGAAACTCTGCCTCATGTCTTCTCGTTTGTTATGTTGTCTCATAAACAGCTTGAAACATCATGGGAATGTTCTTATTAGGGATATCCAAGTGCATTTTATGTGAACTGAATTTGAATCTCGATATTAGACCGTTAAAAAACATTTTAAAAATCTGAAAAAAAAAATTGGAAAGCTTATTTTTGGAAGGAGATTAATAAAATAATTTTTAAAATTGCAATTTTTGACAATGGCAAGCATTTTCTGTAAATAATTTATAAACAAGTAATTTTCCACCATAAAAATCATTTGTTCGATTATCGTAATAAATTTATTCATATTGAAAATTTTAGCAGAAATCGATTTAATGTCTAAAAAAATTAGATTTTTGAAAGTTTAAATAATTTCGATTATTATTTTATTATTATTAAAAAACATTATGAACATGGAAATGAACAACAAAATTGTTTATTATTATTATTATTATTATTATTATTACTTCATTATTTTAATTATTATTACTATTTGTTTACGAACAACAAATATTTAAAAAAATAATAATTCTGTGCAAAATGCAAGTTGAATGACGCTGAATATTCCTGATTTTTTTCAATTTCAGCTCTATTTGATTTTACAAATTAATTTTTAATTTTTAACAAAATTTATTGCAATAAAAATACACAATAAAAAAAAAATTTACAATAGGCTATCGCCCGAGGAGCTTCAGACAAGTGATTTTATTATTTAAACTTTGCAAGTCTGAATTTGAATCTCGATATTAAACCGTTAAAAAACTGAAAAAATAATTTAAAAATTGCAATTTTTGAAAATGTCGAGCATTTTCTATAAATAATTTATCAACAATCAATTTTCCATAAAAATCATTTGTTCGGAATCATAACAAATTTATTCATCTTCAGAATTTTACCAGAAATGAATTTCATTTCTGAAAAAATAAGGTTTCCGAAAGTTTAAACAATTTCAATTATTTATTTATAATCAATGAATGTTTAAAAAAATAATAATTCTGTGGAAAATGTCATGTGAATGCCTCTGAACATGATTTTTTTTCAAATTATTCTCACGCAATTTAATTGACAAATTTGAAGATACTTTGACATCCCTAAAAATGAATTAAATTTGAATGAAATAGTTCAGAATGCATAATAGAAGTGTATTTGAACATCTAGTTGTTTAATTACTGGGCTCGAGGTTCTCCCTGAGATATTGGATAATCGTAATAACGCCGAGACATGTCTGTGTCACCCGCAGATGGCTCAACTTTTTATGTAAACGAACAACCGCGTGCAGGTAACGGTGACAATGGTAGTGTCGAGGAGGAGAAAACTCACCACGGATCGGCCACACTACCAGGTGGTTGTAGTCTGGGATCCAGTCAGACCCCGGGCCCCATCAAATTCCCCTCGGAGGAGGGGTCCGAGTGCTCCAGTGTCACTAGTGAAAGTGGACCTGGCAGCAGGGGGCAGGCACACGCTTGTCACAGTAATAATGCTGCCTTCAGTCTGAAGACTATTTTTGCGGAGCTGCAGGAACATCGGGAGAACTTTGAGCGGATGAGGGAAAAGTTGGATGGAGTGAAGGTAATTTTTTATTCAGGAAATTAAAAATTTTTTTCAACGTTTTAAATGTCGTATTCGTGTGCAATTTAATGAGCTTCTGAAAAATTCTAATTGTCGACGTAATAATTAAATTGAAACAGTTTTTATTTCATGAGTGATTTTAGGAGATCATAAGGCCCTTCAAAAAAATTAATTCTGTTGAAACTAAAGATTTAAAAAACACAAGTTTTTCCAAAATCCTTCATTTTCGAGATAAATAACCAATGAATAAAGCAATTTCAGCTGTTTTTAAATATTGGATTATCTTGATAAGAAGTAATTTAACAGCAGAATTATGAAAGACATTCTAAGCTATAAAATCAGTCCTTTTAAAAGAAATTCTAACAAAATTGAAAAAATTCTTCCTAAAATTAATTATTACTGAGATAAACTAAAGATTGAAAATCACGAATTGAATAGAGTCAGTAGAGTTTCCCACTTCGATAAATTCCATGAAGAGAAATTTCAGATTCCAGAGAAAAATGTTCAAAGACAAATTGAATTCCCAAACAAAGCCATAACCATTTCAAATATTTTCACTGAACCTTTAAAAAAACAAATCTCCCCTGTCCCCTTCGCTTCCAGACCCTCCAGCAAGAAGTGACATACCTCTCAAACGCCCTCCAAGAGGAGAGATTCAGATGTGAACGCCTGGAGGAGCAGATAAACGATCTGACCGAGCTCCACCAGAACGAAGTGGAAAACCTGAAGCAAACGATAACCGACATGGAGGAAAAAGTGCAATACCAGAGTGAGGATCGTCTCCGTGACATTCACGAGATGCTTGAGAGCTGTCAAACCAAAATATGGAAAATGGAACACCAGCAGCAGCAGCACCAACAATACGTCACTCTGGAGGGACTGGACAACAGCAACGCTAGGGCTCTCGTTGTTAAGCTCATCAACGTTGTTTTGACCGTTCTCCAAGTGATTCTATTGCTTGTTGCCACTGGCGCGGGTATCATGATGCCATTCCTCAGGACCAGGTAACCCATTTATTTTTTTTTTTTTTGGTTGCGAGTGGAACTATTGTAATTGTTTAAATTTAAGGATATTCAAGTACTTTGGCTATTTTTCCTCTAGTTAACAGTTTTTAAAATTTTGTAGTCGAACATTAGAGCTTGCATTTAAGCCAAATTTGACCCCAAGTTTCCGGAAATTTTCCTATGATTTTATTGTTTGATCTTTGCAGATCTGAATTTAAATTTTGATATTTAACTGTTAGAAAACATTTGAAAGACAACATTTGAAATAGTTTCTGAAGAATCAATTTTCCACCATAAAAATCGTTTGTTCGAAATCGCAATTTATTCATATTCAGATTTTTATCAGAAATCGATTTCATGCCTAAAATGGTATTTTACACAACAAGTGAGGTAAGTCGGACTTTAAAGTCAGACTTCCCTATAGGCAAGTGGATGGCTCAGAATTGCGTTTTTCCACTTCCTAGGCCTTATACAAGATGAATTAAATTAATTTTTTTTGGCACTTTCGTTTTTCGCGATTATCTCGGAAACTGGAGATTCGATCAATTAGCCCCTCATGTATAGATATTCCAAATTTTTATTTTTTTCCTCATTGAAGTAGTTTTGAAAAAAATTGCGAGCTAATAAAAAACATTTGCTAGTTAGGACTTTTTTTTAAATAAATTTTTGAAAAATCACCCCTGAAAAAAAAGGCGTTATTTTATCAAATTTTATCACCAATCGGTAGCAAATTGTTTGAAGATTTTTGCGAGTTAAGAAAAAATCGTCAATGCACTCCTATTATTGTGTAAATTAACAATTCCAATTTCAACTGAAAACCAGAGTTGATGACCAGAGTTTGTAGCAGAGATGTCAGACAAGATATGAATGTTTTTTTT